AGAGACAGAGAGAGAGAGAGAGACAGAGAGAGAGAGAGACAGAGAGAGAGAGAGAGAGAGAGGCAGAAAAAGGGAGAAGAGATGGAGAGAGATCGAGAAATAGAGAGGGTGACTGCTCGATTAATATTATGACATTGTTCTTTTTTCTTCAAATTGTCTGATTCCTCCAACTCCAAAACCGAGGAAAAACAATCATTCATCGAAAAACCTCCGCAATCTTCATTTAGATCTAGGACTCGAAACTAGATCTAGAATTTGTGTCTGTCTGTCTAGATCTAGACCTAGGCCATAGATCTAGAAGAACCCTACCCTGAGCCAAGAGGGCTCTGAAACTTTCCGAAATCACAAAAGATCATTTTCCTACCGGTGATGTAGGACTCTCAATTGGGTCTATAACTGCATTCATAGATTAAAAACTCAATTTAACAGGGTAAGTGTAAGCCTCTATTGTAACTTAAACCTTGCCGTTATTGTGGAAAATAAACTGGTGCTGTGCTCATTGTTTTTACTGTAGGCCTGTTATTAAAGAGATAATTTCATTTTTCTCCTCATCAGAAATCCTCTTTTGTTTCTCAAAGCAGTAGTAATTGCCAACATGTTCACATAAAAAGAGTTTTCTGGAAGAGAATGGAAAAGATGCCTGCTATCATTAATATTTTTGGGAAATCAGAAACTCAGGTTACTTTTTCTTAATGTTTGGATCAACACCTTCATGCTTTTTTGTTTCTCAATTGCCATTATAATGTTTCTCTACATCTGCGTTTGATAAACATATTAAATTTCTTAATTCTTTGGCTTTTGGTACTGTCTAATCTTCATGTAGTCAATTCCATTTATGTATAAATATAATGCAGTGGCTTTTGTGCAAGTTTATCGCCTGAACAGTGTAAGACATTTCTGCCTTTGGTATTTAATGCTTGAACTTATTTTGATTTGGTGAATGGTACTTTTAAAGTAAATCAATATATAGAATATAATATCCTGACACTTTGCACTAAATGCAACCCGTGATTACTTGTCACCCTTTCACTGGTGCGAAAGGAAAGGAAGCTTTGTTGAGCCAGGTCATCAGACACACCCCATTAATGTAACCTCCTTTCATTCTTTCCTTTAGGAGGCTGCACTCGTTATTTATAAAAGCAGACTTTGAGAGATGTTCCCGCTCACTCTTGTAGATTTATCACAGTGGCAGTTTTCATAAATTTTGTAAATTAGCTAAGTGTGCAGCAACAAGCATCATATTTGAGGCTGAAGCAAAGTAACTGGGTTTCTACTTTCCACTTTTCTCAGAGTTTGTAACAATATTTAATAATTGCATTTGGTATGCTCTATGCGCTTTACAAAGTCTATTATTACCCGAGCACACCCTAAAACACTCAGAGACATTCTTGGCTTCCTGGGAAGCATGCAGTGCAAGCTGCTGATTATCTGCGCTCAAACACTGATAAACTGACAAGATCTTTGGCTGTCTATAGCTGGATACCCATTCCCACCTGGGTGAAGTGAGGAAAAATTTGTGTGAAGTGCCTTTCCCAAGGACACAACATCAGACCCCTGACGGAATTTGAACCCACGACTTAAGTTTACGGTTGCATTTTAGAGAGCCTAACCACTAGACAACCGATGCCACATTGTAGCATTCACAAATCAGTGGGTTGGTACCAATTGTTTGCTTGGTGTTTTTATTTCTTATTGTCATATAAGTGAGAAGGATTTCATTCAGAAACCTCACGTCAGACTTGTGCTGTGAGTGCCCCATGAAGTCCAGGATAACCAGTTGTTGATAATTTTAGGAGGCCAGGATGCTTTCTGAGTCAAAATACTATAAACTCCAAATGTGCTGAAAATGCTGAAATTCCAATGTGGTAAAATTTGAACTTTCAGCTTGGGCATGGTATAAGAATTATCTTGACATCTTTTTTCAGCCCTCAGAAAAACATGATCTCCAAGATGGAACTTAAATAAGCTTT